ACATCATGGTTTTGATCTATGTTACCAGAGCACTAAGTCTATGGACTAAAGTTATGTTTGGATAAATTAAACGAGACGTATAAACAATCTTTAGAGCCTATATTATTCATGATGAACATAAGAGACATACATCACATGATTCGCCACCCAAGCACATTAACTCAACACGTTCCACGTGTCTCGATCTTTTTATTACTTACCTTTTTATTTTACAAGTTTTTGTCACTAATTCTCTAACAATTATAGTTTTATTAATTTTCTCAACAATAATGCGTACAACATTGAACATAAAAAGTCCATCTAAAACATAGATTTTGCCTGTGGAAACTCTCAGCTTGCTCAATTATCTTGTCAAACTAACACTAAGTTCTTATGTAAGTTCTTACATATGAAAACTCTTTTCTTGCTCAAGAAACATAGGCTTTTTTCGGTCTTCTTCCTTGTGCTCCCTTTTGTTTATTAATAAATGACTTTTTTGTTGTAGGAAAACTCTATGAAAATGTAATGTGTTCAAATGTATTTTTCAGTCTATCGAGAAATTGTTTTATAATGAAGCTAAAAATAATGTTCGACTTGTTTTTACTTTCTCTGTCTCTTAATGAATGTCATAGTTTACTATTTAAAAATCACGGGAACTTTTGTTTATTCATATGTTCTCATCGATTATTTGATAAAATAAAATATTCTTATCACCTCATATTTTGAAGAAATTTTGACGTAGTTTTTCAATATGTTGTTGAAATAATAGACTTGGGCTCAATTCAACCCCAAAAGTTAACTCAAGAGGTTGAGGTATCCAAGCTATTAAATAGCATCACAATATAAGGCTACATTGCCGATGTGGGATGAACAATTCAACATGCCCCCTAACATGAGGCGCAGATTACTGCGGGCGCGGTCCCAATATCAATGGCTTAGCTCCAATACCATGTTGAAATAATAGACTTGGGCCCAATTCAACTCCAAAAGTTAACTCAAGAAATTGAGGTATCCAAACTATTAAGTAGCAGCACAATATAAGGCTGCATTGCTCATGTATGATGAACAAGTCAACATGCCCCCCCTCACACGAGGCGCCGATTACTGCAGGCGCGGTCCCAACATCAATGGCTTATCTCTGATTCCATGTTGAAATAATAGACTTAGGCCCAATTCAACCCCAAAAGTTAACTCAAGAGGTTGTGGTACCTAAGCTATTAAATAGCAGCATTGTAACGCCCAAATCCGTCCAGGTCTGCAGCCCCTTTCGGACTAAAGTATTAAGTTGGTAATCGTAAAAATTTAAAACTTTCCAAACACTTTTATTTATCACAATAATATTTTTCATAACATATACAATACGGAGTATTCAACAATATTGCGGAAGCGAATTTAATATTGACATATCATAAATCATTTTAAACTTGTCACATCCATCCCGACAATCTCGTCTCATCTTCAGCCAGGATCACATTGTTCTTTCTGTTTACCTGCGTGTAGCAAATAAAACACACTACACGCTTAGCGGTAAAGCTGAGTAAGCATATCTAATGCGTCGAACATCCATATAAACTGAATCTAAATTCATAATCAAATCATTTGATATCATGCACACAATGTTCATTTCAGACATTCACAGTTTTGATATTGTTCAGTTCATATCAACACATTTTATTCAATTCATATATTGTCTCGAAAGTGCTTTTAAATTATTCTTAATCTAAGGCTAAATAATAACAACGCTCTTAGCTTAGTCTAAGGCCAGATCATAACTATGCTCTTAGCTATTTTTAGTCTAAGGCCAGATCATAATTTCATTCTCAAATGCTTAAACTATGATTAGTTTAAGGCAACAATACTCTAACGCTCAAAATATAATTAGTTTAAGGCAACAATTCTCCGACGCTTAAACCATAATTCATTTAAGGCAAAAATTTCTCCGACGCTTAAACTATAATTAGTTTAAGGCAACCAACAATTCTCAGACGCTTAAACTATAACTAATTTAAGGCAACAACAAGACAACAATTAATCATCATTGAGTTGAATTATTTCCAAATGAGTGATCCTCTAGTCTGGTCTACGTATTCTGTTATTACGTTTTTTACCCAAATCACCAAATATTCATATTTTCACAAATCAATTCTAATCTGAGATCTATTCTAGAGGTCTTCTAGATAGCCTTAATATCAATTATCTAAATGAGTATATATATTAGAGTTTTTCTAGATGCCCTACACATCATTTCATAATTATCAATATATCCATTTTACTCATGGTTCAATCATAATTAATTATTTTAATCAGTAGGTTCATCATTCATAATCATTCATAATAATTATTCATCATAACCATCAATCAACATTACATTCAATAGCAAATAGCGGTCTAGTTTCGAGTGTTAACACCCTAACTTACCGTCATGCATCACATAACATTCTATTTGTTAAAAACATTATTTTCATGGTGAAAAATAATCTTTACATTATTCAATATTGATTGGTATCAAAAATAGGATTTTATAGCTTCAAAAATAGCATTTTTCGTTGCTGACAGTGTTTGGAACGGTCGACCGTTTTAGGCGACGTTTGACCATCATTGCCACCGTGGTACTGGAGTTTCTGGTCCTATAACAGTCGACCGTGGTGACAGAACGGTCGACCGTTGCTGTATACCAGCCAACAGTACTTCATCTTCAACCTCGGGCTAAATTTTCGGAACATCATTTTAAGTCATCAATCTTTAATTAAACTATGTAGAAACGTTACCCAATGTTCATAGATCATTTAAATACCATTAATTCAAAGTTTAAACAACAGTTTCAAGATTTATGAATCTTGGTTCTTCAAGCATGTCAAGCACAAAACTCAACAAAACAACCGTTTATGAACGTAGAAACGATCTATACGAACATTCTAGGCACTAGATATATCTACGGGCTTACCTCGAAGCTTAACGGAGGTTTTGGAAATTCTCCGGTGAAACTTCTGGCGACAATAACTACCAACTCCGGTGACCTCTCACTAAATTGATAGCGCCAATGCATTCTCCTCACTCAGAGCAACAGAATAGAAGAATGAATTATAAGATTTGGTGAAGAAATGAAAATACTCAACTCTCCTTATATAGTGGAGTTGAGGAAGAAGAAGACACATGTGATTCACGATTGATTTAGTGGAGGAGGAGATGTCATCTGCACAGTTCCCTGATTGGGACCATTTTTGGTTCCAGTTGGGGCACACTTTTTGATCTAACTTTCTCCGAATTGAATTGCGTTCGCACCGTTGCGATCAGACTGTCAAGTTTTATTCAACGATATAGTTTTTATATTTGTTTGTAATACTTTTTCTGACATCATATTTTTGGTTGTTTGACTTTGACAGAGTCAAAATTGGTTTAATTGACCTTTTCTCAAAAAGGTTCTCATATTTAATTCATTTTAATTATTCTCATGATTTATTTCAATGAATCATTTTAAAGTTCACTTTATAAATAATTTCTTCATTTATTCTTGATTTGGGGTTGTACTCAGATTCCCAATCAAGATCACATAAATAGTCAACATATTGGATTTATCTCTATGATATTTATCCAGATTGTGATATTGGATATCAAAACACATCTTATTTCGGCTCAAAGCTCAATAACAATTATTTTAATTAAAACAAATTTGATTAATCAAATAATTATCCATTAATAATTCTAGGGTGTGTTTTGGGGCGTTACAAGTACAATATAAGGCTGCATTGCCGATGTGGGATGAACAATTCAACATATGTAAATTTATTTTTTTCAATATTGATTTTTAAATAAAGTAGATTGAAAAAATTTAAAATTTCACTTTATTTTGTACAATGTTAGAGTTTTTTGGCCATTTACCGCTAAACTCTTCATAAATTCCATAGATTCCTATTGAACTTTAAAAATTATACCAATGGTCTGTGAACTTTTAAAAACATTGCATCAATGATCATTTAATACAAGACTTAGCATTGCATTTATCACACGCTCATCAATATATATACTCGTTGAAGCTTAATGAAGATACACTAAATTGATGAAGATGTTGATCGATTGATGAGAAGTTATGATAGCTTGATTGCCCGGGCTTCGAGATCGATTACTGACGCCTAAATGGAGAATAATTATCTAGGATTTCAAGAGGTTAAAAAGCATATTTTCAGAACTCAAGTGTAATATACTTCATCTGTCCTAAAAAAGACTTTATTTTCTTTTTGGGACGTCCCCAAAAAGCCTCATTTTTCCTTTTTGGATACATTGAGGGGCTCTCAATTTTTCTCTCTTCTAGATCACTTTCAACCACATCTTTAATTTTTTAAGACATCGTTTAAAGTCAAAGTATGAGTGTTTTGGAATGGATGGGTATGGGTTTAGACGAGTCCATAGTTACGATGTTCGAGTGCATGATTAATGCACTCCAAAATCTAGTACAGAGAGATCATTGACGTGGCATTTTTAAATAATATTCAGGAATCATGGTGCAATATAAAAAATCAAGGGAATTTACATACTACCTCTGTCCCAGAGTATTTGTCCGTTTTCATTTTTACACACCATCCAATACACTTCTTTAATCCATTTTATCTTGTAATTTGTATATTAAAAAAATATAGAAATTATATATTAATAATCTATATGTTAAGACAAATCAAACAAGATCACAGATGACTATATTTAGGCTTACACATTGAGAAAATTTAATGAATCAAAGTGGTTAGATAAATAATTCCAAAAGTCAAAACTGGACGAATAGGGAAAGAGTGGTTTATAAAGAGTTCTAGAGTACATGACGATAAAAACTTCCTAATGTGACAAATATTTTTAGATGGGAGGACTATTCATGGAACGAGAATGAGCATCAAAGTAGGAAACTAATGAAATGACTCCGCATCAATGAAAACCAAACACACCCGCAAATGGAATTACAGCTAGGCTTGCAAAAGAGCTTAATCGGGCCAATCAATCCAATGGCGCACAGTGTACAAAATGCTTATCGTAGCACCATTCCGTCCAGTAAACAAACATGTGGTCTTCCTTCCCCCCTCCCTTTAAACCCCCTCCTCCTCCATCTCCCCTTTCTCCACCAAACCTTCAACCCCCTCTCCGTCTCTCGATCAACTGGTTTGCAGCAGCAGCAGCAGCTTAGTGCTTCTTACCAGCTCCGCCGACTATGGCGGCCGGAATCACCAGTGCCGCTTGCTCCCGAACTATCTATGGCCGCCAGTTCTCATTCATCCGCCCCAGTTCCTCCTCCCCTTCCCCGCCGAGTTTAGTGTTTTCTCCATGGAGTAGGTGGTTTCCGAGTTCGGTTATCAGCTCTCCTATAAAGCCCCGGGTTAGTGTCTGCTTTGTTGTGGGAAAGCAGAAATTGGAGTCCGAGATTGAAATTCGGGCGGAGGAGGAGATTGAGAAGCAGCAGATCTCGGCCTCCCGATTGGAAGAGAAATTGGAGAGGAAGAAGTCCGAGCGCTTCACGTACCTTGTTGCCGCCGTGATGTCGAGCTTAGGAGTTACGGCCATGGCTGTTCTCGCCGTTTATTACAGATTTGCTTGGCAAATGGAGGTAACTAGTCCCCAAAATTGACGCGTCTCATTCTCAATCCATTTCCCCCTATGATTTCTGTAATTGATTATAGTTTCACTTCGATTTCGGGGAGAATAGGGGGGAGAAATTCCATATATTGAGATGTTCGGTACATTTGCTCTATCAGTTGGAGCCGCTGTAAGTGCCACCTGAATTCCTTCCATTTCTTCGGATCAGAAGAAGCTTCGGTTTATGTGGTGTTGATATTTGTTGTTGAAATTTCCAGATTGGAATGGAATTCTGGGCGAGATGGGCTCATAGAGCGCTTTGGCACGCTTCGTTGTGGCACATGCATGAGGTTTCTTCATCAATTCTCAGCTCGTCTTCTTCTTCTTCTTCTTTTTATGTATATATGAAAATTGAATCATGTTTCTGATTGAATTTCACATGAAATTTTACAGTCTCACCATAAACCAAGAGAAGGAGCATTTGAGCTGAATGATGTGTTCGCCATAATTAACGCTGTCCCGGCCATAGCTCTCCTCTCCTATGGTTTCTTCCACAAAGGCATCGTTCCTGGCCTCTGTTTTGGAGCAGTAAGTCCACTCACTCTATGGTGTATTCTCTTCATTATTGAAGATTCAAATGGAATGTGTATCTTGATGAATTTATTGTACATTTAATGTTATTTCTTCTAGTGTCCTTTTCAATACAAAAAAGTACTTGAATTGGTGGACAATTCTTTCCTGATCAATAACAACTACTGTAGCTTTATTGAACATTCCTCTTTTTTTTTAATTTTTAAAACTCAACAATATAGAATTGTACTTTTCTATGATTTACTGTGATTTTAGTCAATTGTCAAAATTTTTGAATCAGTATTAGTTTAGCTATATTTTGTAAAGTTAGTACAACTTTGGCCAAACATTTACATTACTACTTTTTGTGACTGTTTTTACATAGGATATGCTAACAAATGCCTTTAGATCAACGGTTAAGGAAACGAAAAAGGAATGCTTTTCGATTGAGAAACATAGGGATTATTCATTAATGATTTTTAATTGTCGTCGCGCATGATCGGTACAGGGACTAGGAATCACGGTGTTTGGGATGGCCTATATGTTTGTCCATGATGGTCTCGTACACAAGCGGTTCGCGGTGGGGCCCATCGCCAATGTACCGTATTTTAGAAGAGTGGCTTCGGCTCATCAGGTAATATGACTTTTACGGTCTTCGATGTCTATGTTTGACCTTTATTGCACACAAATAATACAATTGAAATACTTTCTTGGTGAACTAAATTTACAAACACAGAAAATACTTAATGAATTATTACACAAAGAACCTGTTTTGACTATAATGTCTTTTGATTTCAGCTGCATCACACGGACAAGTTCAATGGTGTCCCATATGGCCTATTTCTAGGACCCAAGGTAACATTTATTCCAAGTCTGATATATTAGTGCTGCGGTTAATTTCAGGCTCGGTATGCCAAAGCCCCAGTCCAAACGGCTTGTGGCGTCCATGACCTATAACGTAGAACCGCAATTGAGTAAGCTTTGAATACACCCTCGGTTTCAATTTGTCGAGTTGTATAAACATCGAATGGTTAAGATTTAGGTAAAGATATCGAAGCAAATTGTGAAATGGAGAGTAAATATCGCAAACGAGTTTTATATTGAATGTCAAATTGTAACACCAGTGAAATGATATATTCATCAACACCTGTTGTGTAGTTATCTATGGGATTTGTGTAATGGATAGTGGCTGACAATGGTGGATTATGTTATTGGTGCAGGAATTGGAAGAAGTGGGAGGGTTAAAAGAGCTGGAGACTGAAATTAATCGAAGAATCAAGTTGGCTAGTAAGGGATGATCATTTTGCTTGATGATTTTCATCCATAAATCCTTTTCTTTTAATATGTAGTTTCCTCACTTGAATTATAGTAGTACTAATTACTCCGTTTAAAAGAGTAATATATTCAGTCCTGTCCTCTCGGCATATAAGTGGAGGATAGTGTCAACATTTAATGTAAAAATATCATTTTTATTACAGTATTAAAGTAAATAAGATGCTCTCCGTAAGTTATGACTAATGTGAATTGCCAACCCTTTTGAACTTGTCGTCAAAGAAAAAACGTGGAATGCTCACGGTGGGCGCACCCAAACCCCGACCAGACATAGGTTCGGGGAATGGACTAATTTTATGGTATGGTTTTTGGTATATGATTACAAACTCGTAATTAAAGAAATGTTTTAAATTAATATTAGAATGAATATAACGTTTTTCAGAATTAAAATGAACACTATGTTGAGTACATTTTAGAATGAACTTTACGGATTAAAATAAATATTATGTTGATTCAAGGGAATACTCGTCGGTTGTACCTAGCTCTACGTACAGCTAGGTATATGATACACATTCTTGGGTAAATCATATACTCCCTCTGTTTTTTGAAACCGTTCGTATTTACTAATCAAGGCATCTCAATAACTTTTATTTGCATGTGTTTTTCATTCGTCAGATTACAAAATAAAATATTCTTATCACCACTTATTTTGTAAAAATTTTAATATATTATTTAAATATGTAACTTTTTACTTTTTATTTCTATACAAATTTGTTAATAAAATCATCTAAAATGTTGAGGCTGGAGATTTGCTCTGACCGGTTGCCTAATTTGGAATGGGTAGGGAAGTGGGGTATGGTGGAGGGCATTTTGGGAAAGTTAAAGTAAATTTTATTTTTTCTTAAACTCCGTGTCAAGTCAAATTCTGAACATTAAAAATGGACGGAGGGAGTATATATATATCCCCACTAAACATGAGACAACCTCTCAAACGACTAGACTTCAATTATACTCCCTCCACCAAACCGATCAAATTTCCATGGGATTTCCCCCAACCTCAACATTTTAGAATTTTCGCAAGCATCCTTTAAGGCCCTATTCGAGCTATTCTCACAGCAAGGTGGAAGAATCGAAGATATGAAGAAAATGAAAAATATTTCAAGGAGAAGATGAAGATCCTTTGTTGAACTTGACCTCCTTTAGAGATCTGATGAATCGAACTCAAATCTGAAGTGATGCATTGGAGAGATGAGTGATTTCACGACCAAATCTGAAGGAGGCAGGGGGAGAAGAAAATAAAGAAGAGAAGAAAGGTAGAAGAAAAGGAGGAGAAGAAAGAGAAATTGGTGGGGAAGAGAAGAAAAAAGGAGAAGAAAAAGAAAGGAATGAAGAAGAAAAGATAGAAAAAAAAGAGAAATTGGGATTTGGGGGAGCTGCAAAACGGAAAGAAAGGAGAAGGGAAGTTAATACTATATATAGTCTGAAAGAGGTTGTAGACCTGGACGAATTATGGTGTTACATATTCATTGCCTTTGGATGCTTGGCTCTTTCTTTGTTTTATGTCGAATCTCTTGTGATCGATTTTTTCTGTATAGCTTGAATAAGAAATCTTCTAGAAATAATCTCTCTATTTTTTAGTAGGGATAAGGTCGTGTACACACACTTTTCAAAATCCTACTTGTATGAGATCGAATTATATTCTTGTCATTTTATAAATTAAGGAGGTTTTATTTTTGCTGATGTTTGGCTTATTGCCGATAAGTAGTTTTTTACTTACAAACTGTTTATGAGTCAAATATTGTTTTGTGGAAGTAAAATGATTTAATTATACATAAAATACTTGGAAGTATTCATATATGATAAAGAATAATTTTGTAAATAATCTAATCAAACAAAAAAATGAAAAAACTAACTTAGAAAATAAGTAGCTAAAGTATCCTTACTTTTTCTGCATTATAAACACTTCTTAAGTCAGCTTATAAACATACAGAAACATATAATGAGATGACTTATATGTTAAAGACTCTTTATAAACGTTTTGACCAGTTTAATTATAAGCAAAGAGAGACTGGCCGACCTCGTTGCGGCTTTTCTCCTCACGACACGTGTGTTTATATGATTCATTCATGCAAAAATGATGAAAAAGGAGACTGCCCGGCCCTGTTGGGGCTTCTCTTCCTGGCGCGCGACACGTGTGTCGACACGATTCATGCAAAAATGATGAAGCAACAAATTACAAGGGATATCATTGAGAATAATCCAAACCCAAACAAACACTGGTGGACCAAATATTCTAATTCATGGAGTCCCAGTTCGTATTAAATTGCATTGATCATACCCTTCGTCCCAATTATAATTTGATTTTCTTTTTTTCTCTAGATAATTTTTGTTTATTTATGTATTTTTATTGATTTTTTGATAAAATAAAATATTTTTGTCACCTCTTACTTTGTTAAATTTTTTATTATGTAATTTTTATTTCTTATTCAAAAATAGTAGAATTTACCTCGTAATTCTTATTTTGTGAGTGAAAAAATAAGTTGTACCCGTAGAAGAAAAGAAAAGAAACCAAAAAAATTCTCTCTCCCTACTAAAATTAACTTTCTTGTTTAATTTTGCAATTAAACTTTTTAAACTTTGATCACATATTACAAAAAAATGCATTAATTTTTATATAAATTTGTTATCAAAAGATTCATTTCAAAATATATTTTTAAAATATATTATTTTTATAATATATTTATGTAAAAATAGAGATAGCAATGATCAAAGTATTAAATTAGAAATCGTGAATAATCAAATGAAAAATTAATTTTAGTGCGAAGGCAGTAATGTAGTACAGGAAGTTCGTGGTCAAGACCACGTGATAGATTTGTGAAGGTTAATATTGATGCATCCACATGCTTGATTGATGATATGGTGGGAGTGGGTTTCATCGCCTGCAATGACCTTGGAGTATTTTTTGCAGCTAATAAGGATATATCTTTCAGGGGTAGCTATGGTCACAGGGAGGCAGAGGCGGTGGAAGTTAAGGAGGCCCTTAGCTGGATCAAATCAAAAGGTTGGATGCAGGTAGAGATCGAAACCGATTGTAAGGAGGTTGTAGAGACACTCAATAACTCTTCTGGTGATTGGTCTTATTTCTCTTCGATTATTACTGGTTGTAAATTCCTATCGACTTTGTGTGATGAGATCTTTCATTTTCACTTTGTTTATTGCTATGCTAATGAGGCATCGCATGTACTAACGCGAGCTTCTCATTCACATCAATGCAGGGGAGAATGGAACATTTCTCCCATGACTTCATCATATCATTAATATAATTTTATTCCCTTTTGCTTCAACAAAAAAGAAAGAAAAAATTATTGAGAAGTGGGTTGGTGCCTGGGGCTTCAAAACTGCGACAAGCCCAGAAAGATGCAAGTGGAAAGCCATTACACCAGCACGCAGGACCAGTTTTATTCCGTCTCTGAGTGTTTGTCCACTTTTGATTTTTGGAATTGTTCATTTAAGTACTTTGACTCATCAAATTCTCTCAATGTGTAAGCCTAAAAATAGTCATGTGTAATCTTGTTTGATTTGTCTTAACATATAGATTATTAATATATAATTTTTTACTCCGTAATATACAAATTACAAAATAAAATGGATTAAAGAAGTGCATTAGATGGTGTGTAAAAATGAAAGTGGACAAATACTCAGGGACGGAGGGAGTATTTGTTTTTATAATATAGTCTCTCCTTTTGGTAAAAGAGTTTCTATTTATCATATTTATTTTTGTAATTACACTTTCAAATCAAAGAAAAAAGAGAGAAAACTTATTTAAATAATTTATTATATCAAAGCTAAATGAATGAAGTATATTGTAATAACTTAATTAATTTGAATATATTTGTCATTTTTTATCATAGTGGAAGTGTTTTGTTGCCAACGAAAAAATTAAAAGAACTGTTTTGAAAATCGGATGGAGTATTAAAATTATTAGAAGAGCAATGTTAAGTTCACCAACAGAAAACTCACAAACTTTACAAATAGTAAGTTTGTAAAATTTGTAACCACTATGTTTGTGAACCAAGCATTTCCCTTATTAGAATGTATTGGGATTTTGTGTTATCGTGCTCAGTATTGCGCCCGTAATTAGGCGCAAATTATACCGTACAACCGGCTGTATCCAAAATTGGGTACAGCCGGTAAATTAAAGAAGAAAATGCGTTGATCGGAGGAGAAAAGAGGAGGGTCGGGTCGGGTTGGAAGCTGCGTCGAAGGAGAGCTGCGGAAGAAGAAATCGATCTGAGGCGATGAAGAAGGAGATCTGCTGCAGTTTCGGGCAAAATCGGTCGGGAGGAAGGAGGAAGATCTGAGAAATCTATCGGAGATGAAGAAGCTCTCCCGATCCGCAGATCTAGTAGGCAAAACACTAATTCCAAATACTCAGTATGTTCTAATTCCAATTTGGTTAGTATGATTTTGGATTTTTATGAATAATATGTTGTTTAAGAATGAGCAGTAGATTATTTGAGAATGAGTATTACTAGGTTTAGAATGAGTATTACGCTTCTATAAATAGTTGGTTAATGTTTAATGAAATTAAGTTATTCAATTCCAATAAAATGTCAACAGGTGTACTGTCCGCCACGCAGCCCGTGCCATCACGAAGAGTCAACCGGGAGGAGTCGCAGTAGCAATCCGCCAATTTCCCCCTCTGCCTCCGTTGCCCGTTGTTTACCCGGCGACGACAGCGGCATTATAGCCACATGTCACAAATCAGGTGCGACGTCACTCTCAATTTCCAGACTTCGTCCCAACCCGGCGATAATACCATTTGTTCCCGTTCATTTAGCTTGTGCAGACGCCATATTTGTCAGAATTGTAATTGATTTCTCGCATAATTGTATAATTGCCAGTGCTAAGTTGTGTCTGTCAACAAAGTCTGAGTCGTTGTTATCCAGGTTGTGTCCAGCAAGGGTGCCGCCGCCTAGTATTCTGTCTCAAGTCACAATATCTGCCAGAGTTTGCAGCATGATCCACTACCTAGACAAATCACTCACAGTACCAAATTGGTGTTTGTCCCAATCACAAAATTGGTTGGTTATTGGTTTTGCTTTGATTTGTTCTCACTCCGGAAGAAGGTTTTCATGTTCAGTCTTGCCACTCATCCAGATTTAATGACGTTTCTTGATGACATCATTTTTTTGTTGCTTTTTGTTATGGTGTTTTATGTACAAAATGATG